TATGGGTCAGTGAGGGGCGTCATGTCTCATAGTGGGGCCGGCCATGTGGTCCTCTCTGTGGACTGGCTGCTCTAATTGGGATCATCATCCTCAAGGCCTGGTGGGCCAGGATGTGCTCCACTCTTTCTATCTCCCCCTTCATCTGCTCCAGTTTGCTCTCATCAGATATGTCCCTCTCCCGGAGCTGCAGAATCAATGCCATCTTTTGAATTAAATTATTTTGGTGGGAGGGGCAGGTGACCAGTTAGTATTTGGGATTGGGGCCAGCCCCCTGTGAAATTCAATTTATATGGAACTTTTCCAAATGCACATCTGGCAGGGAAATGCACTTATCTGCCTCATTCTTACAATGAAGTCTAGGCCTGCCTGAGACATCCTACTCCATATTTAAGCTTTCATAGCAGGCCCTACCTTAAAACTACCCTTGCTCCCCATAGCCTATTTTAGGGGGGAGAGAGAACACAAACTTAAATATATTTTATAGAGCGCCCTGGTGGTTCTGTCAGGTGAGCTAACCACAAATTGAGGGGTTCAAGCCCACAGACTTTCTGCGGGAGGAAGATGAAACTGTTTCCTCCTGTAAAGATTTGCAGCCCTGGAAACCCTACATAGGGTTCATATGAGTCAGAATCAGCTCCATGGCAGTGGCTTTTGGTTTGGGTTTTATTATGCCTGAAACAGGACAACTCAAAATCCTCACTGCCATTGAGTTGATTCCAACTCACAACAACTCTGTAGGGCAGGGTAGAATGTCTTCTCCGGGGGGTTTCTATTCACAGAAGTAGAAAGCCTCATCTTTCTCCTGCAGAATGGTTAGTAGTTGGAACTACTGACCTGTGGCTAGCAGCCCAATGCATAACCACTGCACCACCAGGGCACCTTACTGAACAGGACAGAGATCCAAAACAGTCCAAACGAGGGAGACCATCGGCATGTATTTGAGGGATTCACAGCCACACAGCTACCTAAACAGGAGCTGGAAAACAAAGGAAATTGTCACATACCCGTGGGAGAGCAGTTTATCATAGTTGCAGGCGGGACTACAGAAGAAGAGAGCACGAGGCCATGATTGGGATACATGCATTACTGCAGATTAGAGAACTGGAGAGGCAATTTCACCATGGGGGGAAAGTGTTCTGAAATTGAGTGTGGTAATGATTGTACAATTCTTCTTGATATGATTGAACTGCTGAATTGTGTGATATGTGGATTAAGTGCCAATAAAACTTTAAAAAGAAAGAAAAGTGTACAACATTGGTGCCAGGGTCCCCCGACTCCCTTGGTCCAAGTATGGCTCATTCATGAGACCCTAGCTCCCCAGACTGGCTATGGGAGTCCCAGCAATCCATGTTCAGACACACTGTCTAAAGACAAAGCGTTTTACATTGCTAGCCAATGGTCGGACAGAACTCAAGGGAGGCTAAATTTATGTTCAAAATGAATTTAGGGTTCCCACTGTAAACTCTGAACTTAAGCTCCACCACATGCCAAAATAACAATAATAAAAGACTTCAATGGATTGGGAAAGCAAATGCAATCTCCCAAAATGGCTTCAGTCCTTCAATTCGTTAGGAAGAAATATCTGGCTTTAAACAATGCACTATAGTATGCAGACAGGGTTTGCAATTGGCTAAAACCAAGGATGTTGTGAAAAGATGACTCAGTTGTATGTCCTGGGAGTGGCGGGAGGGAGGGAGGGAGGTGGGGGAGGCTGTCTGTGGTCCTTAGAAAAGAGCTATCGGTCGTTTTTATCAGGTCCATGTTTTCGAGACCCGGAACAACTGCAAGCCAGGAGACCCTGCATAAGAAACCCCAAGACCCTCAGAGATGCACCTTCAAATGATCTGAATGGGAGGCGGTGAAACACCAAATCATCCCCGCCCCAGGTTTCAGACTAGGATTTGAGCAGAGAAATCGCTCTCCTCTCCTACCAAGGGGCCCCGAATCACAAGATCTTCTGGGGTCCTCCTTAGGATGTCCCCGAGTCCCGACCCTGGCCCTGCCTCCAGTCTCGAACCGCTCTGGACCATCTTGGGGACGCTCCGCGCTGCCCACGGCTGACAGTCCATCCCTCTGGACCGCGGCCCTGGCCCCTCCCGCTCCGGCCGCCCCGCCCTGGCGGGCAGCGCCACGCCCCCGGGGGTCCAGGCTGTGGGGTGGGGTGGACCCTTCAGTCTCTCCCCTGCCAGCCTGCAGCTCCCACGGCCCCGAGCCCTCCCAGTCCGCCGGCTGCAGCAGGCCCGGCC